AATTTTGAGTAGTTACGAAAAAGGTACTTGTCAATAATTAAAATTCTGAGATTTGGACAACTATCAATTAAGATGAACATGTGTAAATTTCCAATAAAAGAAATCGAACATGGAAAAATACCCAAAATTGTTGCGAAGGCGTTACATCAAATGCACTTATTAAGTAATAACCTAAGATGGTTAGTAATTAAAGTAAATCATCAAATTAATTAACTAATTTGATCATGATCTTAACTTGTGGTTCTCAAGTATTGAAAAAATTGATGTGCACATATCATTCAACATGGTGTCTTTTAATGTCACTTTCAAAACAATGCTTCACGCAAGTGAGGAATTTGAGAATGAAAGAACAAAATAGGATCAATTAGTACTAATTTGAATTAATGGGTGAAAAAGGGACAATGAAAGTGCATGGTATTATTTGATCATATCATGTGGTCTACAAAGTTCTTTAATTATATTGTAATAGTATCATAACTCATAACATGTCTTTTCAATATACGTTAAGTTTCGATATGTAATATATGACGTGGGTATTTGTAACTAGACCATGGACGTCATTGTGTCTTCTCCTTATTTGATCGTTCTTTTATGTTCTTTTTTTTAATAAAGTAACTTTGTTTAATTCTTTATTTTAATTTATACGTTATTTTTTTTCAAAATATTGATTCTATACTGTCTTTTATAAGTATTTTTAAAATGTTTACCCCTAATCTTTCACACTTCATATACTCAAACTTCTCTTACAACATTTTTTTTTCCTGATTTTACTTTTGGGACTTTTCAGTAGTTATTAGATATACTTATGTGATTCCTCAAAAAAAAGATATACTTATGTGATTAGGTTTTCTAACATGTGATTGCTTGCAAATTGAGTGATAGATGAAGAGAGTAAAAGAAAAAACAAAACAAAAACAAAACTTGGCTGACATGGCCCATAGCTGTCCAAATTTGCCAAGTTGGCAAATTGATCCATTGTTATAGTTTACTCAATAAATCTCACATTTTTTTTCATGACAATATAAAAGTTTCCGAAAATGTAGGTCGCAATTTCGTTCACATGAAAGAACAAAAAGGAAGTAGACATAATTATATTAGTATACAGTATTTGATTTTCATCATATAATACGGAGTAACTATTTAAAAAGTCAACCATAATAACTACTCGTAATAAGGTTTTTTGTTTCTTAAACAAAAAGGAACAACTAGGAAGTTGTAGTTGAGAATAATAATGTGCTATTAGTAGATTTGTCACATCCAAATCATAGTCGGTTATAAATATAAATTGTGTTAAATCTATTCATAGCATATTGGATAAAGGTATATGTAGAGTTAGTGAGTCCATATAATTTAATTTCTAATTACTTTCAAAATCTTAAAATTGCAATTAAATTAGGTCATTTTTTTTAACAATTACTCGTGATGTGAGGTTATGTTTTAAAACTTGCTAGCCAAGTTTCTCACGACATACAAATTATGGAATATTGGAATCTATAAAGTTTGCAGGGATATTCATACTTAGAAAGTTAGATATTCGATTAACAAATCAGGCCTTGTTCTTTTGAGTTGTTCTGCTCAGCTGAAATCTGCTCTATGCTCTGCAGTGTTGGAAGCTCTGTTTTACTTTGTTGAAATCTGCTATGGTCTACTCTACTCTGCCCAGAAGATCAAAAGAATAGGACCTTAGTCTTGTCCCAAACAAGATAGTACATAAACACTACTCATTAAGGGATTAGGGATTGCGAAATCAATAACATTTGCTTTGGGGACCATTTTTGATCTGTTCTATAGTTACATAGACAAATTTGTACAAAGTCAAGAAGACATGTTATTTTTCGAATTGGACGTGGGTTTTGGACCTTGCAGTGGTCAGTGAGGCAACTCCCAACTTAACACTAAGCTCATCAAGTAAAATTCCCGTCACTGCTTAGTTAGGCTTTATTCTTTTGGACTTATTTCCAGTTCAACTCAGTTTAATTCAGCTTAGCTTATTTTATTTTTTTACTTCGATCAATTCAGTTCAGTTCAGCTTCTAATAAGGGGGTCGAATAACCTTACTCTATTTTTGCTCTTACTCTAATTAAGCCTCAACCATTACAGTTAATTTTTATCCAACGTTTATTTACGAGTCATTTATTTAATTGATTGATCTAAGCCGAGGGAAATGGTAAGGAGATTCCCACCTCCAAATACCGCTATGAACTTATAATTGGTACAAATCAAATAATCTCATACGAGTATTGTACATTTGTATATGAATAACTAAATGGGCCTACACTGAACCCATTAGCTTCATTACTGAAATTGTTTTATTGCATGTATTTGGCTTATTAACAAAGTATAAATGGAATAATTATTAGTAATTATACTAATTAGAAAGCTAGTCCATTAGTTCCATGAACGAAGTTGATAAACTAATTAGACATCATCAACTTTTTTTTTTTTTTTTTTTTGGTAGAAATGGCCCTAGTGTGGTAAAGTTATCTGAGCCAGCCTCTTTGGGACAAGGATGTTTGGAGATGAGAGACAAGAAGAGAAACATGGAAGCAAATCAAGCTTGTAAATTAGGGGCGGCAAACTTCTATTGCTAATTATGATAATTTGACTTAATTAATTAGCTTATTGTGGAGTACTAGGTATATATTAACTATATATGTGTACTACTCCGTAAACAATATGAGATGAGCTATTTGCTTTGAAATTTACAATCACATGCATATTCGGAGTACTCTCTTATGATGGTTACATTTTAAGGGTTTTTTTTTCATTATTTTTTTTTTTTTTTATTGTATTGGACCTTGGAGTATAGAATGCAAAGGTGCGTACATGATTTATGCTTGTATTGTTACAACATACTGAATACTTCGTATAATAGAAGTAAGGTTAATTGATATCGGGTAGTTTACTTTATTTTATGTTTGTACATGAGCAAAGATATATGTACCATTGTTTGACCATCTTTTCATATAATCTTTTGATTTATTTACTAATAAATATACCAAAGCAACACTTAACCAAGTGAAAAGATTTGCATGTTACTTCTCATAGCTACAATTTTGTAGGATCAAAATTCAACTCAAGGGTTGTATGGAGGTGAAGATTCTCTTACCATTTCCTCCACTTTTAAAGGTCTTGTTCGTTAACTCTGTCTGTTAACTCGAATCGAATTGACCTGTATGAGATTCTTCAGCTCCTTAATATATAGAATATTTTCCTTATCTTTATAAAAATATAGTTTTCTTAATACGTAAGAGAATATTGAAATAAAAATTAAAAGTATAATTAAAAAAAATACATAATCTATGGGACCATGTCCGTACGATAGTAAACAAGAATCCAATAAAGGATTCACACTTGAAAGTTTTATGCTAAATACATTCTATAATTATTATCACTCCATTAAAATATTTTACTATTTTTGTTTCAATGCAAATTGAGTTACGGAGTATTTAAATTCCAAATATACCCCTCTAATCCAATACTCACGTGCACCTTTTGAACACACATCTATCAAGATAAGACCAATTTTTAAAGCCTTGTTTGGAGTTCCCAAAGATGACTTCCAAGTCTTCCCCACTCAATAATCGTATGCCAATTGTCAATATCACCAGCAGACTTCTCAATTTTTTTTCTTCAATTTTTAGTAATTTACAAAAGAAATTAAAGTGAAAAAAAATAAAATAAAAAATACTATCTCCATTTTTTATTAGTTGACATGTTTTGAATTTAGCATTATTTACACACTTTTCTTTGATCAGGGTTTGTGGTTTATACGTAATGAAAAATATAGTCATGTAGGGTCTTGTTAGATTCGTCACGATATATGTATTTTCAAAGTCATGTGGGGTCTTGTTAGATTCGTCACGATATATATATTTTCAAAGTATCAAGTTTTTATAATTTTTACTTATCGGTAATTAAAGATATTAACGGTTTAATTTATGCATTAATAAACGCGACTAAAAAAACGTATTAATTAAAAAGAAACGGAGAAAGTTGTGTAGTAGAAATAAAGGGTGTCCTTTAATTTTAGTCTTGGTTCAGACCCCATAGACTATGTTCCAAAACAAATTCCATATCATAATTATTAACAAATAGTAAGTGTTTAATTCTTGTATATAATAATGACATTACAAAGAAAGATGGTGGAACCAATTATGCTTCTTAATCAAAGTACTATTATTTTATGGTGACCTTAATTAAAACAAGTTAACTTAGCTTCTTTTATCCAATCAATGTTTGTTTGTGTCCGTGTGTGAAAATGTTACCAAAAGTAAGTTCCTAGCTAGATGAGACCTAGCACACTCTCTAGAAGCATAGTTTTCGAAAATAAAGTAAGTGTCAAAATTCATTAAAATATATAAAAAAGAAAAATTATGTTTTTGATGGATTGAGTTTTTAAAGGTACTTAACCAAGTATTCGTATTGTTCTATTTTATTAGTGTCCGTTTGGTATCACTGTAATTTTCTGTTTTTCTAAACTACATGATATATGTCATATATTAAATAAAATATTAGTCAAACTTATTAAAGTCTTGTTAATTTTGAAAATTGACAATCATAAGGTGGAAAATAACTTTTTCAAGTTTCTAGTTTTCAAAAAATTAGAAAATTAAAAACAAAAAATGATCACGAACAAGCCTTTAATTTTAAATTATTGTTTAGTACAAGTAGTAAATAATGAAACAAAGAGACAAAGATGCAAACAGGATTTTTCTTCTTTATTTATTTATTTATTTATTTATTATTTTTATATAGTTTGTTATTTATATAGTTTGTTAGATATCATGCACATATTGATGATGATGAATGATGATAGCTATGAAATAAATGTTCATGTGATCAATAGTTCTACCATTTTAAATCATTATAATTTCGACATTCTAACTAGAGATTTTGTTATGTAAACGAGCTCATAAGTTTATTAAGATGAAAGATATAATAAAATACTATGTATGTATCTATATCTATGTGCCAATATCAAGAATAAAAATATCATAAAAGAGAGTAAAAAATGATTCAATTTAAAGAATTAAGATCAAAGTTTTATATCCCAGTTACAAATTTACCCCCAACCCGAAAATACTAAAATTTTTTGAAAAATTACAAGAATCACCACAAATACAAAAGAACTACTTCCTACCCATCTTTTTTTTCTTTTCTTTCTTTTTTTTATTTTTTGGATTTTTGTTTCATGAATCCCATATGTATGATCCTAATTAAGATTACATGTTGTGTATAGTTATGACACAAATAAGTATCATGAGCTCCAATTGGGAGACTCTCTATGTATTTGGCTCCTAAAATAAGAGGCAAATTACACATTCCACTCACATGTTGCTAAATTGTTGTTGTAAGACATAAATGTCCTCAATATTCCACAAATTATCCGTTGTATCCCCAAGACCAAAAGACGACCATTGTTGTTGGCTATTTTGCTCCATGTAATTATCAACACCTTGGAAATCCATCCCTTGGTTAGTAAGATAATTACAATTAGGACTTGTTAATGAGTTATCACCTCCATAATTCACTTGGTCACCTTGGTAATAATCTTGATTAACACTTTGATTAGCAACCGGGATCCCATAATAATCCCCAAAATCCGAGACTTGTGTACCATAGGAATCTGAAGAATTACCCGAGTTTTCAGGGGTAAAATTAGAATTTACCGGTGCATGCATAAAATTATCGGTGTACCCCATGGTTGGTCCACCAGTGGCAGTGGTGGTGCCCGATCCTCCAGAAGTAGTAGCCGTAGCGGTAGTGTGGGGCCCGTTGGTGGCGGCTGCGGCTTGGATTCTTTCAACTAGTCTAGGCATCCAAAGATAACGCATTGTGTCCTTAAATTGCTTGCTGTTCACGTCACATTTTAGTTGCTTAGCATGCTTTTGTACACGAGTTCTCCAATAATTCTTAATCTCATTGTCTGTTCTTCCCGGCAAATATTGTGCTATTTTCGACCACCTACGATATACACAATATTCTATTAATTATTAAGAGTTTTTATACTTAATAACACCAAAAAAATCCATGCAATAAAAACTCTCTTACATGATGTTAATAGCATTATTAGTTTGCATAATTAGTAGATATTAACATGATTATTGTTATATATTGCAAAATTTTAAATTGTTCATGGAAGGGAGCGAGGTAATTACCGGTTGCCCCAACGAGAATGGAGTTCCAAGATCAAGAGTTGTTCCTCAAGAGTAATATTTCCTCGTCGAACATCAGGGCGTAAATAGTTTAGCCATCTCAATCGACAACTCTTTCCAGTACGCTTAAGGCCTGTTACATACATTATTCATGTACAAGTTAGTACAAGTCGATGATAATAATTGTCACTAGATTATCCGAACCAAAAAAAGAACGCGAAAATAAAAGAAAAAGGGGAAAAAGAAGAATGATATGTTATACTTGTATATAGATTAGTAAAGTTAGTGCATAATAACATAAGCACAAACATAAGCAAGAACCAATAATTAAGGACAATATGATATCCTACGAAATGCCTTGCGCACTAAAGAGATGTGTACGAGTTCACATAATGACACAAAGGCCATGTACTTCATTTTTATTCTTAATTTTTTTGCAAAGATTTGTAGAAGATGAAGTGTATCAAGGTATCATCAAATTAAAAATAAAAGTATCACTAACTTGAAAAAAGTTCTTTTTTTAAAAAAATTATATTTATCTCCTAAGTTGTTTTTATGATGACAACTCAGCTTAATCGTCATCAAAACCACAATTATAACATCATAAATCTTTTTATTTTCATCATTATTTTTTTTTTTTTTTTAATATTCTCTATTTTAAGAAAAAGTTATTCTCATTTTAACAATTTTTGCGAGACAGTTACTGTTCAAACAAGAAAAAATTTGAAACAAAGAGAATACTAAAAAATAAATCTTCGAAATAGTTCATGCAAAAACAACTCAGGTGTTGAAAGAGAAGAATATTTAGCCAGCTATAGAACTGGCCTAACAAATGAGTTTTGGTACTTGCACAAAAATGGTAGTGAAAGAAATTTATGGTACACAAAAGTCGTTATTTATCAATACCCATTTTAATTTTTCAAACCTTAATCAAGTTGTTTTCGAAACCATAATTATCTTAAACAATCGATATGATCGATTCATACTAGACGATAATTATTGTTGTTGTTAACGTTACCTGCACAACGAGCAAGGGAGTTCCAGCGACCTTCGCCGTGTGTAGCAATGTAATTGATGAGGGCAAGATCCTCCTCGACGGTCCACGGACCTCTTCGGAGGTCCAATTCATCTTCACTATTAACGGACTTAGTTGTATTATTCCCGTCCATACTTGATTTCTTTTAAACTGATTGATCGACGAAAAAAATGATGTTTTTTTTTTTTTTAGAGAGAAGAGAGAGAAAGAGGATTAACACATAATGAAGATATAGAAGGTGTGAAGCTTTTTATAGATGGAAAAAAAGGAGAGGGGTTTGAAATTAGTGAAGAAAAAAGGTGACCATGTGGTAGAAATTTGCCGCAATTTGAATTATAATATATGGTTTTTTTTGGAAGGAAGAATTTTATAAATTTGGTTCATTTTTTTTTTTGTTTATAATATAAGAAGTGAAAAAATCAACTTGGTAGTAAAGTATACTAATTAGAAGTGTAAAAATAGTACGATTATATATGATTAAAAATAGGAGATTAATATAAGTGGTATGAAGTTTGACTGTTTGACATTTTTGCGTAAATCTGAGATCTTGAGTAACTGTATTAAGCGCGTAGTTTTCGGGGGTTTTGGGTTAAGGAGAAAAAAAAAAAATTTTGAAAAGTGGTATTTTGCTTCTTATTATTATAGGTGTTCGTGTTGTTGGTTCCGACCATTGTTTCTTGTTTGTATGTACTTAAAAAATGGTCCCGGTTGACTATGGTAGAACTATAGATGTAGACATGTAGTTAGTCATCGATTTCGTAATCATCTCGGTTTACTTCTGTTGATTAATTTTGTTCTTCTTATTTGGAATCTGATCACTACTTACGTTAAATTTAATATCATACGTCTATCAAATTAGCGTATGATATAGCTCACACAATGGGTATGCAAGTGCATAGCCCTAAATTTTTATTTAAACTTTTATGAAGCAAATTTTAGGCAACAATTCAAAGAAATAAGAGTAGTTTAGCGGGTTATATATTTGACGCTTCCTAAGAGTACGTTGTAGCTGGTAATGTATGATACATTATAAAATACTTCCTTTGTTCTGCAAATATTGCAACAAAAATGAAATTACGCATCCCAAAACACATTTTATATGTTAAATATCTATAATTATATAAGAGTAAAAATTATAAAAATTTGACATTGTGAAAGTATTTTACGAGACGAATCTCACAGGACCCCACATGACTATATTTTACTTTACGTATAAATCATAGTTTGTGGTCAAACAAGCATGATAAATAGTGTAAAAGTCCAGTTGTTGTAATATTACTAAAACGGAGGAATATATTCTTGGGCCTCAACCATCAGCTTAACCTTTTGGTTGAGTTGATCCACTAACATGGTATCAAAGCCAACATGACATAGAAGTCACGGGTTCGAATCTCACCTTACCTAAGTGGAATATTAAGTGTTGGGTATGAGGAGGGCCCATGCTGCATCCACACTTCAAGGCCAACGAGCTCTCGTGTGAAGGGACGTGATAGAGTATAAAACATATTCCTTGACCTCAACCATCAACTTAAACTTTTGGTTGAATTAGTCTACTAACAATATAGTCTATTATTCAAATTTTGATAGACGTATGAATTAAATTAGCCTAATGGAAAATGGATTCATATAATTGATTTTGTGCATATTCAATATGCAAATTATGGGTACGCCTCTACGTCAACAGGGGAGCTTCCAAAAGGAAAAAAATAAATAAAAAGAACATCGTCATCAATGAAACTTCAAGATCCTAATTTCAGAAAAATATACACAATTACTAAATGATAAATATAAAAGTTGATATACAAATGATATTCAACATTAATAAATCATATTATAATGTTCACAATTCAATAATTAAAAATGACGTTCAAAACTAATTTCAAGATGAAAATCCAACAATAATTCAATGCTAATAATATGAGTAACAATTATCCATGAACATAAATAATAATAATAAAAAAGAACATTGTCATCAACATCATATATAATTAAACAATTTAAATATGAAAATAAATCTAAAAATTAACTTCTCCTTTAGTGCGAAATCGTCAATTTCACCTTCATTATCAAAATCTTCATTCTCATATGCATTATTAACAAATCTACAAACTGGTTCACTTTGAAATTTAGAATTTGCAATTTCTATTTTTTTTTCTTCTATAAAATAACTTCTCTCTATAAAAAAAAAATAAATGAAATTCCTTGTCTTTACAAAAATATCAACAGTTTTTTTTTCCCACCAAATATCCCTAAATTAGGATTTTTTCACGTAAATAGAATAACCTTTGGCCGGTTCTCCCAAAATGGACAAACCTATAAATCTGCTCATTATTGGACAGAAGTTTGCCATTTTTCGCCCATAATGGACTGAGTTTACAGGCAACCGGTTATTCAAGTCAAGATTAATAAAATAAAAATTAAAAAAAATTAAAAAAAAAAAAACTCAATCCCCCAATTCACTGCCAGCCCCTCCTTCCCTGACCCCACTGCCAGCCACCCCTCCTCCCTCCGTCTGACGGCTGCCAGCGCCCAACCCACCCCCGGCGCCGGCGACCCCACCCTCGAACCCTAAACCACCCTCCTACACCACAGTTCACCCCTTAATTATCCACCAATCACCACCCTAACCACCGGTCACCCCTCTCCTTCCCCAACCACCAGCCCACCGCCCTTTCTCTAACACCCTCCCCGAAACATCCCTTTCTTCCCAGCCACAAAACCGCCCACCTTACTTAATAATCCACCCCCCCCCTCCGCCGAAAATCGCCCTTCATCCCCCATTTCAATGGTGTTTCGGGGTGGGGGAAGGCTAGGGTGAGGTGTTTCCAGGGTAGAGGAAGGCTAGGGTGGGGCATTTCAGGGTGGAGGAAGGATGGGTTAGGCGTTTCAGGGTTGGGCCGGGGCAGGCTAAGTCATGCGTTTAAGGGGCTAGTTGAAGGTTGGGGTGGGTCATTTCTGTGTAGGGGAGGGCCGGGTAGTGCGTTTTAGGGTGGGGTAGGCTGGTTCGAGCGTATTTTGAAGATGGGGCGTTTTGGGGTCGGGGAAGTCTTGGGTGGGTAGGCTGGGATGCGGTGTTTCAAGGGTGGGGGTGGCTGGTTGTGGGCGGGGTGACTGGTCGTAGGTGAGGGTAGCCGGTTCTAGGGGAGGAGATGGTAGTGGAGGGGGTGGCAACTTGGTCGGAATTAATGGAGGGAGGAAGGAACGGGAAATTAAAAAAAAAAAAAAAAAACTTGACCAATGATAAAATGACAAGTGGCTTTTTACCTGATATAACAGGTAGGGTGACGTGCTTGGTCCATTTTGGGAGAAAAAATGCAAACTTCTATCCAATATGGGCAGATTAATAGGTTTGTCCAATATGGGAGAATCGGCCAAAGGTTTGTCTGTTTATATTAAAAAAAATTCCCCTAAATTATCACTTTATTCGTCCTATACCTATCAACATTTTCTAGTACACCACATATCCCTGAGTTTTACAAAAATGCATCAAATGCCCTTAATGACTAACTGTAGTTAGTTCCGTTACCCATCAACATTTTCAAATACACCACATAACCCAGAGTTTTAAGGAATTTTTAAAAATAATGAACAACCAATCATATTATATTAATTACTTATTAAATGAATTTTTTTTTACTTTTTTAAAAAAAACCCCTACCTTCACCACAGCCCAGTCCCCTGCCCCCGCCGGTCGCCAGCAATCGACCCCGATCGGCGAACCCATTCTTTCTCTCCTCCCACCGCCGGCCATCCCTAGCTCTACCCTAACCCCTTTTTTTCTTCCACCAGACCACCACTATTATTTTTCCGGCCTTCAGCCTCCTCCACCATCGCCTTATTCTTCAATCCACTGTTTCATATCATCCACCTACCCGAGATCGGCCCACCCAAAACCACCCCTCCCTTCATTTGCTTTCCCCGTCGGACCTCGCCGTCTTGATACCTCCACTGTCATATCATCTCTCTCTCTCTCTCTCTCTCTCTCTCTCTCTCTCTCTCTCTCTCTCATTGTTAGATTTAGTAGGTTTTGGGGTGGTGAGGTGGTTTAGGGGTGAGAGGGCTAATTTCAGGGGGATTTGGTGGTGTGGGGGTTTAGGGCTTCGTTGTTTTGAGGGTAGGGGAAATGAGGGGTTGGTTTAGGGGATCAGGGAAGGGAGAGGGCCAGGCGTTTTCGTGGTGGGGAGAAGGGGATCTAGGGTGGTTTTCGAGGTTGGGGAAGGGACGGGGTAGTTTCAGGGGTAGGGGAAGGGAATGGGTGGTTTCGAGGGTGGTCGCCGGTGATAGATGGTTGTTTAGTGGTGGCTGTTGGCAGGGGGACTTCGGTGAGGGAGGGTATTTGTTGCATATTTGTAAAAATTTAGGATATATGATGTATTTGAAAATTGTTGAGGGGTATATGGTGAATAAAGTGTTAATTCAGGGGAATTTGGTGAAAAAGTTAAAATATCAATTTTAATTTTGAAAGTTACTGATGTGGAATATAAATAACATATCCTTTAAATTAAGGTATTTATTTTGAAAGTTACTGATGTGGAATATGAAGACCATTGCGTATATAAGTAAGAAAATATTGCATATCAGTAGAAAGAACATAAGTAGAAAGAAATCGAACTGAATTTAAGTAGAAAATTACAAAGAACGTGAACAACAATTTATTATAGGGCACACCATACGTAGAGTGCACCCCAGTGTATAATCTAAATTGCAATTTTTGCTTATTAATACAATAAATATTTCTTTTCTTCATTAAAAAAGATTTTAGTATTATAACGTGGATATTTCGTGTCAACTACGAAGGTTTTTTCCACTAATATGCTCAAAATCGTCTTTTAAAAGAGCAATAAAAAGTTAATATATGTATCTATAAGTGTTTTACTCATCATTGTGGAAACGAATTTTAGAGGTAATTTTTAAAAAAAATATTAAAATTGAGTGGACATCAAGTTAAGGACTGAAGGTCAATCAAGACAAACTCATTAAAGAGGCTGAATCAAGCTCCAACTAAGTTAGATTTATGTGTCTTTTAATTTTAATCGGACCAAGTCAATTTTGGAATGTTTCCCATTGTTCCACTTATTAGTCGTTATTACCGGCCCATGGTTCTTTGAAGCTAAGGGAACACAAGGACCATTTAACATTAATTTTAGGAAAAATTGCATTAAATAATATGACCTTTGCTCCGTCCGTTAAAAACAAGTCCACCTTTTGTTTATTTCAAAATAATACCACCTTTGGGGGTGTCCGCTTCAAACATGATTTTTTACCTGCAACCTTAATGACCGGTCATCCTTTTGATTTTTTCTTTTAATAACTTCGTTTAACACTTTAATTAACTCTTAATTAGGACTTTAATTATGGTTAACAATTAATATAATTAAAATTTCTTACAAAAAAAAGTTAATTAAAATAATTTTTTTTAAAAAAAAAAACCGCAACAACTGCCACCTACGTACTACATTGCATCTCGGCGCGCCCCACTCTCTGCCTGCCGGTGCCGGCCACACCCAGATCCCCCCTCCGGCGCCGGCGCCCGTGCCGATCCTTCCCCTCTTTCCCTCTTCCCCGAACTAGCTAACCCCTGCTACCCAAAATCCATCTCCATTACCCACCCTCGAACTAGCAAACCCCCTAAAATCCATTACTCACCCTCGAAAAACCCCAGCCGGACCTCCCCAACCGTCGTCAACGGTTTCGATTAGGGTTTTTTAGGGTGGGTGATGGATTTAAGGGTTTCGATTTGGATAAGGCGAGGAGCGGCATCAGCGGCGGTGCGGCGGAGAGAGATAAGTTGGGC